TACCACTACTAGTACCACTACTAGTACCACTACTAGTACTACTACTAGTACTACTAGTACTACTAGTACTACTAGTACTACTAGTACTACTAGTAGTACTACTAGTACTACTACTACTACTACTACTATTACTACTACTACAGATCATGGCATTGTGGAAGGCAAGGGGGGGGAGTTTAAATATAGAGCTAGATTTTAGATCATGGCATTGTGGAAGGCAAGGGGGGGAAGTTTAAGTAAAGACTTAGATTTTAGATCGTGGCATTGTGGAAGGCAAGGGGGGAAAGTTTAAATAAAGAGTTAGATTTTAGATCATGGCATTGTGGAAGGCAAGGGGGGGGAAAGTGTAAATAAAGATTTAGGTGTTGGATCATGGCATTGTGGAAGGCAAGGGGGGGAAGTTTAAATAAAGATTTAGATTTTAGATCATGGCATTGTGGAAGGCAAGGGGGGGAAGTTTAAATAAAGAGCTAGCTTTTAGACCATGGCATTGTGGAAGGCAAGGGGGGGGAGTTTAAATAAAGAGTTAGATGTTAGATGATGGCATTGTGGAAGGCAAGGGGGGGGAAGTTTAAATACAGAGTTAGATTTCAGATCGTGGCATTGTGGAAGGCAAGGGGGGGAAGTTTAAATAAGAGTTGGATTTTAGATCATGGCATTGTTGAAGGCAAGGGGGGGAAGTTTAAATAAAGAGTTCGAATTTAGATGCTGGCATTGTGGAAGGCAAGGGGGGGGAAGTTTAAATAAAGAGTTAGATTTTAGATCATGGCATTGTGGAAGGCAAGGGGGGGGACAGTTTAAATAAAGAGTTAGATGTTAGATGATGGCATTGTGGAAGGCAAGGGGGGAAGTTTAATAAAGAGTTAGATTTCAGATCGTGGCATTGTGGAAGGCAAGGGGGGGAAGTTTAAATAAAGAGTTCGAATTTAGATCATGGCATTGTGGAAGGCAAGGGGGGGGAAGTTTAAATAAAGAGTTGGATTTTAGATCATGGCATTGTTGAAGGCAAGGGGGGGAAGTTTAAATAAAGAGTTCGAATTTAGATGCTGGCATTGTGGAAGGCAAGGGGGGGGAAGTTTAAATAAAGAGTTAGATTTTAGATCATGGCATTGTGGAAGGCAAGGGGGGGGACAGTTTAAATAAAGAGTTAGATGTTAGATGATGGCATTGTGGAAGGCAAGGGGGGGGAAGTTTAAATAAAGAGTTAGATTTCAGATCGTGGCATTGTGGAAGGCAAGGGGGGGGAAGTTTAAATAAAGAGTTAGATTTTAGATCATGGCATTGTGGAAGGCAAGGGGGGGTGTCAGTTTAAATAAAGAGTTGGATTTTAGATCATGGCATTGTGGAAGGCAAGGGGGGGAAGTTTAGATAGAGAGTTAGATTTTAGCTCATGGCATTGTGGAAGGCAAGGGGGGGAAGTTTAAATAACAAGTTAGAATTAAGATTAAAGTTTAAAACTAGAGTTTAGATGTTAGATCATGGCATTGTGGAAGGCAAGGGGGGGGAAGTTTAAATAAAGAGTTAGATTTCAGATCGTGGCATTGCGGTAGGCAAGGGGGGGAAGTTTAAATAAAGAGTTAGATTTTAGATCATGGCATTGTGGAAGGCAAGGGGGGGAAGTTTAAATAAAGAGTTAGATGTTAGATGCTGGCATTGTGGAGGGCAAGGGGGGGGAAGTTTAAATAAAGAGTTAGATTTTAGATCATGGCATTGTGGAAGGCAAGGGGGGGAAAGTTTAAATCCAGAGTTAGAATTCAGATCATGGCATTGTGGAAGGCAAGGGGGGGAAGCTTAAGTAAAGAGTTAGATTTTGGATCATGGCATTGTGGAAAGCAAGAGCGGGGAAATTTTCAATAAAGAGTTAGATTTTAGTGGAGGCGCAAGTGAGAAGGCAGTGGAGGCGCAAGTGAGTAGGAGTGGAGGCGCAAGTGAGTAGTTGGAGGCGCAAGTGAATAGTTGGAGGCGCAAGTGAGTAGGAGGTACAAGTGAGAAAAAATTGGAGGCGCAAGTGAGTAGTTTACCCAACCCCACTGCCTACTCTACATAACATGTACCTTCCCTTTGGTGAAAAGAACCAGATACCAGGTAGCTTTATTAGCTGTTGCATCAGAAAGCAGTGCAGTAGGGCCGAGTTTGGTTGGGTGTGGCGCTTCTCAGTCAAGCCCTATGCCCGTAGTGTTGCCGCTTTTGCAGTGGCTACCGCCTCATCTTCCTCCTGCTGCCGCCGTCCTCCCTCCTCCTCTCCCTTCTCTCTATCAACTATCTTTATCCACTGTATCTGCCAATCTTATCTCTATCAACTTATTTCGATACAGCTTATCCCTGTCCACCTTCTCTATCAACTTATTTCTGTCAACTCATCTCTATCCAAATGATCTCTATCAACTCAGCTCTATCAGCTTATCTCTATCAACTTATCTCTGTCCACCTTCTCCTCTCAACGTGTCTCTGTCGAAAAAGGTGGCAGGCGTGGTGCTTCGTGCCTCTCTAGACTGGCTTGCTGTTGCTTCCGCGCACTTGGCCCCTTGGGCCCCGCTGCTGTTTTGTGTGGCAGGCGCGGCGCTTCGTGCCTCGCTAGACCGGCTTGCTGTTGCTTCTGTGTGCCTGGCGCCTTTGGCGGGCGGCTATTTTGCGTGGCAGGCGCAGCGCGTCGTGCTTTCTAGATTGGCTTGCTGTTGCTTCCGCTATTTGTGTCGAGGCGCAGCACTTCGTGGCATGTCATGCCTCTCTACACTGGCTTGCTGTTGCTTCTGCAGGCCTGCCTTCTTTTGGGCTCCGCCGCTTTGTGTGGCAGGCGCAGCACTTGGTGCCTTCCTGGGCTGGCTTGGATGTTGCTTCAGTGCGCCTGGCTGCTTTGTGCGTCTGCTTTGCGCGGCAGGCGCCGCACTGCGTGCCTGTCTACCTAGAACCAGAACGCCAAAGTTGCTGCAAATTTCTTTCAGCTTTTGTAAAACTGGTTATGTAAAACCGAGCTTTTTGATTCATGCAACTTTCGGTACTATGCGACTTTTGGGTTTGGGATTTCATGCATGGAGTGTATTTATGTGTGAGAAGCGCGCAACATGTTCAAAGGGAAATAAACTTTCCAGGCCTTTTCAGATTTTCTCGTGCCTTTTTCATTCTTGCTTGTCGCAAAGAAACAAAACACGTGAAAACTGTGACAGATTTCTCCAGCGTGGAATTGCGTCACTTTTCCTAGACTTGCGACTACCGGACGTGCTACCTTTGTCAGTCACCCTTTTTTCCCTGCGACTTGGCTTTCTCGGTAGACATGCTTTGTTTGGTGGCTTTGGTGGGCGGCCATTTTGCGTGGCAGGCACAGCGCTTCGTGCTTTCTAGACTGGCTTCCTGTTGCTTCCGCTACCTTGCATCGAAGCACAGCACTTTCTGCCTCTCTACACTGGCTTGCTGTTGCTTCCGCGCACCTGGCTGCTGTGGGCTTTGCGTGGCAGGTTTGGCGCAATGTGCCTGTTTAGATTGGCCGCTTTCTGTGCGTAAGGCTTCTGTAAAGGCTTCTCCGTCACCCGTGTAAAGGAAGTTTAGGGGCTTAAAGAAAGCTGACGAGACATTGAGGCAATTTTTTGACGTGCTTGGAAACTAGAACTTTGAGGTGGACACTGTAGCGGCTGTCTGATTTTGGACAGCAGGGAGGCGGTAGAAAAGGAGTAAGCGGGTTGATGGGGTCATCCGTGCATCCAAGTGTTGCTTCATGCCAGGATGTTCCGACCTGCCACTTGCAGCGTCAAGCCTCAATGACCTTGCCAAGCCACCCAAACTGAAGAAATAGTTTTCAGAAAGACGCTTTCGCAACATTCAAGCTTCCGTCTTCTACTTTATCTTTGTCCTCGTTTTGTGCCGACAGCTGAATATTGGGTTGCATGTCTTGTGTTGTTCGGCGGCAATCCTTGGGTAGATGAGTTCCTGGAGCCTCGAATGCGGGCAGCTTGGTACTCTTATCAGCACGACCTAGTCGATTGAAAGCCACGCTGTCTACATATATTGCGCGCCCTCCACGTGTCTCACCGCAACTGTCGCGCCAAAATCACATACTGCAGCCCTTGCTCACTACCCTCATCTCATCCAGTGGTTGTATACCTGTTGTTTCCTTGCTGCATACGCGTTGTACTTATTGTCCTGGATGTGCTTGTTTTTGTACTTGTTGCAATTGTATTTTTTGCTTGGCTTCAAGGCCCTGCCTTGGTTGCTGAATTCCATGTTCACACCAGAAGCATGTTGCCGCAAGATTTGTTTCCGGGCGGCAGCTGCTTATCAACTTTCTTCGCGCCGGAAGGTGCGTCTTGGGCTTTGCCGTCTTGAACGTGGTGAACAGTGTTTTGTGGCGATGCTGGCTTTCCCGCATTTTTCCCCTTCAGATGTTTGTCGCTTCCCACAATTCCCAAAGGAACATTTTTTAATCTTGCGCGGTTGCTTGCGCGTCAGTTTGGGGCAGTCTGCGGAAGCTCAGGTTTTCGTTCAGCAGACCATGAAGACTGCCAGTTCGGACGAAGAATTGGCTTTCAAGCAGAAAGAGAAGGATGCGCAGATGTAGCTAGAACATTATAAAGTAGTAAGGGAGGTGGCAAACCCTTGTGCACACTTGTGCACATGTGCTTGTCGTTTCGCGGCGCAAGACGACGAATTTAAGCAACAATTAGTCGCTCTTTGTGTTCATTGCTGGCAGCTGATTGGGCATCACATGAAACTCTGATGAGGGGTGCTTTGTGTTCGCTTGCGGCTTTATTGTTAGTGATGTCAGCGACAAATTGGTAGAGTCACGCAAGCGAGGTATACCCGGAAAGTGAAGCGGCTGTTCCAGACAATAGACGATTCTGGCGATGGCGCCATCAACTTCCAAGAGTTTTCCAAATTGGTGCAGTCTCCGAAATTGAAGTTTTGGATGGCCCAGTTGGCACCTGGCTTGCATTCAGAGAACTCTAGAGATGTTCCGGATTTCACTCCATGTGAATGGCATTTTCAATATTAGGTGCATACCCAATTCCCAAGAAGTATGGTGATTAACTTTATTACATTCGCGCGCCTGCGTTGATTTTCTCTTTCGATTTTTCCGTGTCGGAAGCTGTTGCGCAGGTGGGAACGAGACTTTGTACACAGTTTGCACATGCCCCAACTGCCCATTCAACACATGTGCTGCTCAACCTTGTCTTCCTTCAGGTTCCAGCTTCCGTTTTGATTTGTCCGAAATGCGTTTGCTTCCAGCGCCAACTGAGGAATTGGAGTACCATGATTTGCTCAGTCTTTTTGAGTTCTTGGACAACGGAGATGGCGAGATCACGTTTCTTGCCACAAATAGGTCGCAAACAGCCTTGCCACTAAAACCCTTTCGGGGGCAGCACAGAGGCAGCCCCCTTGTGAAAGCTTGGGTTTTCATCCGTTTCTGGTCCAAGTTTATCATGTTCACCCGATGACAACGTTTCCCCTTTCATCACATGCGCATGCGTACGTAAGATGGGTTTCGAGGGTGCATTACACGTGTGTTCTGAAAAAGCAAAAACACACAAACAAAGAAACATACTAAAATCACCAAGTGTCGCGTCGCTTTTGCAGCACCTCCTGGGCTATGTGTTCGCTTGGTCGATGACTGGCCACATTGTTCTCGGTGAGAGCCGGTAGCATTTTGGTAGGCGCCACTACCAAGGTGTTAGCCAAGCGGGCATCACAACAATCATTATGCGGTGGTTTGCTACTACTAGCAATGATTCAGCCATGCAAAGATAGGGCAACAGAGGTTCCCGACCATGGAACGACAGGTGAGGCATTACTATGCCTATGCTACTTAGGCGGTTTACTGGCACTTGCATTTTTGTTGGACTGGATGTCTACGCCCAGCCACAAGTCGTCAGGACTGACGGAGAAAAAGAATACCCAAAACACAAAAAATAGTTTCACCTACGTGCTGCTTTAGCAGCAAAGAGACTTGGCAAAAAACACCAATCGCAAAAAAGTCGGTTGCGCAGACGCAGAGCAGCCAAAAGGAGATACACTCAACTGGTGTGCCAAGCAAGGGGTCGCCATGCTGGCTACTTCTGACACCACAGATGCAAAGCACAGAGACAACGACCACAAAGGCTCATACTTGCCTTTCCATGGGTTCAACCAAACACTTGCAAATACAACCTGAACAATACGCGCCCTTGGCAAAGGATCGACCTGACAGGAGGCGGCAGAGCTGGCGGAACAGCGGCCACCAACCAATCTACCAACCAGACTACAAACAAGTCACATCCACGGCAAGTGAGTGACATGACTGGAGGCAGTGGAGCTGGCGGAGCAACAGCTAGACCGACCAGCCAACAGGAACACAACCAAGTCATATCCTAGGCAAGGGATTGACCAGACCGCAGGTGGAGAAGCTGGCGGAGCGGCGGCTACCAACCTACCAACCTACCTGAACACTACCAAACCATATCCTTGGCCGGGGATTGACCTGACAGCAGGTGGAGGAGCTGGCGGAGCAGCAGCTACCAAGCGACCCATCAACCAGAACACAACCAAGTCACATCCTAAGCAGGGGATTGACCTGACTGGAAGCGGCGGAACTGAGGCAGCAGCGGATACCACACTACCAACCAACTTGATAACAACCAAGTCACATCCTAGGCTAGGGATTGACTTGACTACAGGCGGAGGAGCTAGCAGCGAAGCAAGCACCAACTTACCAACCAAGCGGGACAAAAACAAGGTCACGCCGCCGTTAGCGGCGCTGGAGGTTTTGGCAGCTGGCTTGCAGCAATCTCTGAAAGAAATAAACATGACTTCACCAACATTGACAATTGACAGTTTCGGATATCAAGGTTTCTCAAAAAAAGGACCTCCCAAAAACAATTGGTTTCTTGCTAATAAGGATTGATATAAGATGATCTGGGGGTGCCCCTATTTTGATCCACGTGGTGTGCAAGTGCAAATGAATGTTAACATCCTACCCCACCCCAACCCATGCCCCACGTAGCAGCAACGTAGCATCCACGTGGTGTGCAAGTGCAAATGAACGTTAACATCCCACCCCACCCCAACCCATGCCCCACGTAGCAGCAACGTAGCATCCACGTGGTGTGCAAGTGCAAATGAACGTTAACATCCCACCCCACCCCAACCCATCCCACCCCTGGCCGTATATGCTGAAAAGTAGTAAACTCCTCTGATATGCTAAAAAGTAGTAAATTCCTCAGCGCCGCTAACGGCGGCGTGAGCAAAAACAAGTCATATCCTAGGCAAGGGATTGACCTGACCGGAGGCTGCGAAGTTGGTGGGGCATCGAGCACCACCCCGAACACAACCAATTCACATCCTTGGCAGGAGACTGACCAGACTCGTGGCGGAGGAGTTGGCGCAGCACCGACCAACAACATCAAGAAGGAAAGTTCATGGGATTTGTCCTTTGGATCATGGGAATTGTCCCGCTTTGCTTTGTGTACACGTGCATGTGAAAGTGGACAGAAAGTTCATGGGATTTTGTGTTTGAATCACTGTATTTTGTATTTTTTCGGGAATCTGGCTGAAAATTAAAAAGCACATATCATCATGCATTTAGTAGAAACCGGGTAAAAATTCGAAAATAAAAAGATGGCCCAGAGAGCCACTAAGTCCAGGTGAAATGGCCCGGAGAGCCATCCAATGACATGCCAATCTGACGCTGCATCAAGATGGCCCAGGGAGCCGCGTCAGTGGTTTTTCAACTGCGGTGAGAACGTCTCCGGTCCCACACACCAATCCCTTTTCGACATGGCATGCGACAGGCTGCAGCCAAGAGGATTGTGATTCAGCTTTCCATCCGATCCAACTCGTCTTGTTTAAAAAGATGCATGATTCAGGAGTAAAAATGATAAACCAATACAGGGAACATGGTTAAAACAAAATCGATAGGCAGAAAACATAATAACGAGTTGGTGGTTATTTTCATGACAAGCCGTGTGCCTTGGAATCCGGAGGCACATTTGACACAAGAAACAATTGTGTGCTGTTTCTGGCAAATGACATGTTGCTCTCGATGGCAGCTGGTCACTACTTGCAGCAGTGCCATATAAGCATGCACCCGTGACACCGAAACAGAAAGATTGCACAAGAGGTAACTGTGAAATTTCAAAAGCAGCTGCTTCACCATGTTTCCGCTCGACATCACATTTCGCCAGCTGAGATCAGTTTTTGGTATAGCAGCGCACGTGTCAAATCAGAACACAGCAGCCTGAACTAAATTTCATGACGCCTCGCTGTGAGGCAAATCAGCACGGCTCATTGCCCAGTCGTGTCTGCAAGGCTTCCTGCAAATGAGGCTTCAAATCCCGCATCAGGTTCAGCAGGTTAGTCAGAATCAGTTGCATGCCAATGCAGTTGTTGTCTGCTTCTGCATATTTGTCAAAAATCACAGAGCTGACTGAATGTCTTCAGCCTTCCGCTTCAAAAATAGCGGTTGCCTATGTTTTGAGGCGTTGTTGCATGATCAGGGCCGCTGTCAATTGATTTCAGCAGTGCAGAAGCTTCGCGTGGCTCTTTGGGCCATTCTGCTTGTGGCTGGTGGCTCCCGGGGCTATGTTTGATGTTGCATTTATCTCAATTGATCGATAAAATTGCTCCACATACCGCTGGGCCATTTTCTGCTTGCCGTCAAAGATGCTTTCGAACCTGGACATCGTTGAATAATATGAGTTTGGGTTTCTGCCTATAAAGCTGGTAATTCTCTGTTGAAGGCTGGCGGTGGATGGACCATTCTGTCTGTAACTGCTACAGTACCATGTGATGAAAAGAGCCATGTCACTACTCTGTCGTTCTGTTGTTTTCGTAGTTTTCTGAGTAATGGTGGCGATCTAGCCCATATTTTAAGGCATGCGGCTCTTTGGGCCATGGTTAGCTGACGGTGGCTTCCTGGGCAATTTTTTGCATCTCACTGAGATGCTTCGGGCGCACTCTGGATTCCATAGTCTGTTTGCTCGCAAACGTTTTGGCTAATTGCAGTTCTTTTTGTGCCGTTGCCTGTAGCACCATGGCGAATTGTCTATATGCGTTCCTGCTTGAGACGCATTCTCCCGTATGCCCTGTCGTCGTGGGACAAGGAATGTCCAGGCTTTTTGCTATAAAGTAGACGTTCACTTTTCGAAATCAGGTGTTAGCCTGTCAAAGTTCCCTTGCAGGCTAAGTCTGCCACTTTGCGTTGCAAAATGCTTTCAGCTCGCAAATAATATTGCAAAGCGCTTTCTGTGCGCTAGCGCTGACAGCGCTACCAGTTGTAAAGGGGTTACTTTTGGCTAGTTTTCTGAGCGCTTTTATCATGATGGCTGTTTGGACCTCATGTGCAAAATTACACAGAAAGTAAAAGTCAGGCCGACTGAGGGTCATGCATGTGGGCGCACTTCATCTGGACTGACAAGAAGCATTTCTCATATTACTATGCTTGTAGCATTTCGAGTTTCAAAATTCGACTCTTTTCCTCGCAGTTCTGCCAATGCCCGGCATGATCTTGAAGGAGCACACCATGGATTTCAGTGAGGCTTTGACAAAGGGTTCCAATGCGATTGAGACCACACATCAAGCAGCATGACCTTCTCTTGTTGCTTGAGATTGCGTCGTTCTTGGCAGACGTCCATGCGGACAATAGCTTCTACTCCAAGCTGGTCGCCAAATCTAGTGCGGCCATGACACAAGCCCAAGCCTTTTTAGCAACTGGACCTCCTGTTCTTGGCAGACGTCCATGCGGACAATAGCTTCTACTCCAAGCTGGTCGCCAAATTTAGTGCGGCCATGACACAAGCCCAAGCCTTTTTCGCAACTGGACCTCCTGTTGTTGATGCAGACTACAGGAACTCCCATGGTTTCAATCCTTGGCTGCCCATTCGAGCAACCTGTGTGAAACTGAAGGCCTTCCTTGACCATGTTTTGAAGCGCAAGGCTGAAGAGAGACAGTCAGCTCTGTGTTTTGTTGACAAGTATGCAGAGGCAGATAATAACTGAATTGGCATGCAACTGATTTGGCTAACCTGCTGAGCCCGCTGCGGGATTTGAAGCCTCATCTGCAAGAAGCCTTTCAAACCGACTGGGCCATGAACCGTGCGTCATGAAATTTAGTTCAGGCTGCTGTGTTCTGATCTGACACGTGCGCAACGCCAGTACCTCACTGGAACCAGCACCCTTCACTGCACACAACCGCAGCAAGGGGAAAAACAATAGCAGATGGAACAAACCAAAATCAAAAGCCGAGATCACTCAACTCGTGGCGGCGAGTGGACTACACCACCTCGGCTTACAAAATACAACCAACTCATCGAGGCAATCAAAAGCAAGAGCGCAGCCAATTCAACATCGTTGAGATCACCACATCTCACAAATTTGACAGGCTGTGCATCTACTGGGCCACCTACAACTACCAGCAAGCTATATCACTCTCTGCACTGGAGAAGCCGTAGAAAACACTGGCAACACACACTAGTGCAAGGATCAAACGACAATATGCAAACACTTTCAACGTGGAGAACATCAGCCTCAAGGCGCTTGGTGACAAAGCTCGATGTCCCTGGCCCTTCGCACCTACACAAGTCAACGCAGCTGACATTCCCAAAGTCGAACGCACCACAGTTCGGATCGCAGCCCCTCAAGAATACAGGCAGCGATCCTACGAAAGAGACAGCGCCCAAAAAAATCTTACAGACATTGCCACTTGCTATATCGATGGATTTACCACCACCACCACCGCCACCGCCGCCGCCGCCGCCACCACCACCACCACCACCAGCAGCAGCAGCAGCAGCAGCACCAGCACCAGCACCAGCACCAGCAGACCACCAACTAGGTGAATACCTGGCAAACCTGCAAATGGTTCGTTGGCAGGGACTTCAGTGGAACACCGCTTGAAGATCCTTTGCTGCTTTACCCACAAAGAGCCTGGCACTGATGACGAAGCCGATCATGCAGATTTGACCCAATTCCTGCACGTTGGGGAGGAAACTGCTGCATTGACTACAGCTTGCAAACATGGAATCCATGCACCGACAGGACAAGCACGCAGATCACAAACTCTTGGAATACAACTTGGATCGTGAAGTTCAACAGAACCCGGAAAGATGCTCCATCTTCCACTTGGGGCATCAAGGTCTTTGAACATCTTACCAAGAAGGAGGTGGCTACGGCCAGTATAACTTGCCCGGAAAGTGTGTAGTGGCCGGCGGGGGGGCATCTGTGGGCATGCCCCAGTTCGCGCCCTCTTTCAGGCCGACGCATCTCCACCAGCAGTGGACGGCACCCTTCCCTGAAGAATTCAGCAAGAAGTTGCGCTTGTGGGGCTGGAGTGCTACAACCAATACTACCTTGCATCAGCTGCACCTCAGCTGGCGCAAGACTACTTTCGACCAATGGTTGCTGGGAAAGAGGGGGTACAGCCAGCTGGCGCGCCAAAACAGCTTGTGTTCAAATGCTGAGCAAGTGAACCGTCTTCGTGTTCACCTGCATCCATCCAATGCGCGCAGCATTGTGGTTGCATCGTAGTTGGCCTTGAGAAAGAAAAAACGGGGTCCGGCCTGGGTTTCATCAGGGCCCCTTGGTCAACAATGCCTATTTTGTTTAAAGGGCCGTCTTCGGTTTGCCCTTTGGAGCAGGTTCCTTGTGAGTGTGATTCTGGTTTTGGCTTTTCGATTCCTAAAATTTACCGGATTGCACATTTTAACAGACAGTGTGTTCAGGAGTATTGAATTGCACACGCCAAGGCTCATGGAGTTTATTGAAGGTGCTGCCAGATTACGCGGCAATGCGAAGGCTTTGGATATCTGGCGTATTGAAACCAAAATGGAGGCACGGCCGGACATGGCCTACATGGCCTGCTGGGTGGCACAGATGGTGTGTCGTTTCCAATTTGACGTGTTTTGACAAACGTAGAACAATCAGGATGCACCGTAGCCGTATCCTTTAACATCCTCTCACGTTGTCATTGGGAATTTTGTACTGTAACGAGTTGCAGCTGTATGAAGACATGTGAAAACATGTTGCGGAATGTTGCGCCGTGCGTCTGCAGAGGTGCTCATTGAAGAAGTGTTGAAAGAGATGAAAGGCTTGGGAAAAGAAGTGAAACTTCAGGACGTTTTCGACAATTCGATGCTTCTTGGGAGCGAAAAACAGTGAAAATCCAACAGCACAGTGACAAGCCCACTTTGGAACACATCGCTGAAACTTTGACAAGAGGATCCAGAGCAAGCTGCATATTGTGTACATTCCAAAAAACCAAACTGTTTTTTGATCTTTTTGACACTGACCCTCCCAGTTTTGCTTAACATATGATGCAAAATCTGGCACGTTTGAGACTCAGAGCTGCCTGCGTTGCCTTAAGGTTCAGACACATCAAAACCACAACGATCGGCCAAGTTTCCGAAGGGCCTGAGAGAGGGGTCTCTGTTATATCTAATGTTATATCTGAGACGTAGTTTCATCAGCTTCACCAAGCAAAAAGAGAGAATCTTCCCGCAAGTTATTTTGCACCCACCCGCAAAGCGGACTGGAAAGCTCCTTACACATTGAGGTCATCGACGTGCAAGTGCAGACATTCATCAGTGAAAGTTCTTGCTGTTTTCCTTGATCCAACTTGTTTCCAGGTTCTGCGGTTTTAACCTTGGTTGTGAGGAGGCTTGAAACGCGAAAGATATAAAAGTGAGAACGAATAAGTTGACAGCCAGAGAGCTAGACGTTGAGGGCAATGAGCATTTTCAGAAGAGGCATCACAAGAGTGGTTGGCGTCCGTGTTGGTCAAACCATCGACTCTCAGGCGGAAAAATCTTGGCTGCCTTTGCCCAAGGTAAGGCGGTAAGCCACTGTCAATCGATGGATTAACTGAGTCGCGCAGAAGACATCAAAAAGCGCTCAGCCTTGCAGATGTGCCGATGGAGATGCATCCCATTGAAAATACATTGTGGCAGCTGCGTGTGAAACTCTAAGCTCACCACCTTGTGAACCTTGTGAGTGCACCCAGAAATATGACACGCTTTCTTTGTCAAGCCTTCAGGGCAAGCACATTTTTACATTTTCTGCCACGGTAGACTGCATGGATAGCAATATATGGTATTCGCTCTTTCATCGATGTCAGGAAGGCTTTACACATGCAGCATGCTTTTGCATGCTCTTACTAGGTACCCAATTTGCATTCAGCAGTGCCTTCTCTCATAAGTTCTCATACTTACTCGTACTTCATTACCTTCATATTACTGTTTCTTCATCTTTTTTCATACTATATTCATACATACTATATTCGTAATATCTTCATATTATCTTCATGCTATCTTCATACTATCTTCATTTTATCTTCGTTCTATCTTCATATCATCTTCTTCTCTTCAAATTAGCTGCATACATCTGTATACCAGTAGTACCCGCACGAGGCGGGGCGGAAGTTGCCTTAGGGTTATGCTATAGGACCTTATATTCATCTACAGAACTTGCATGCGCCGTGCGCCAGCCAGGGCCTTGCGTGCGTGCTTCGTGCGAACCTTTTTCACTGTCGTTGTCCAGGAACAGGACCTGCGCACGACCACGTTGCAATGCAACGCCATGCGGCACTTTGTGCTCCAAAGATCGCGCTTCACATTGCATTTCACACTTGACTTGACGCTTTGCACTTCACACTCCACACACTACACTTCACACTTCATCTCATCTCACCTCATCTTATCTTACTTTGCTTCCCACATGTCATCCAAATTGCTCTCAGCTCTTTTCATCTTATCCGAACAAACTCATCTTAGCTCTTTCATCTACGGAAGAGAAGTTCCTATGCACAACAACCGTGTCATCATTCTCTTCTGATTCAGTGATACTATTCTCGCTTTTACGCATAATCTCATTCATGGTGTAGTGTAGTCGTTATCTTCATTCAGGCTTACACTTACACACTTCCTTTCATGCAGTATTAGCTGTTCATGCTCAACAGTTGCATTTTTTCACCACTGCAGTATGTGTAGGTCCAAAGCCAGATCTCAGCGCCAAAGCGAAAAAAAAATCTGAAGCACTGTTGCAAAGGAAATTTAAAGGAACATGATCAGCGCCAAAATTGAAAAAATCTGCTGACAAATCACCCTCGCAATCTCGATGCAGCCACTCCAACACGAATCACGACTCGCAGGCAGCCGCAGCGAGGAACCTTGATGTAGCCATTGCAATGCGTTTTGCAGCGCCACGTCGCAAACCCGAAGGTATCTACGCACATGGCGACAGAGCATGACAACAATCATACAGCCATTCCATGGCGATAACAACCTTGGATTCCAAAAGACCCTACAGCTACGCACACACGAACACACCCAAAGCACCTTGAAGCCACCGTTACAGTGCGGCAAGAAAACGTCAAACCGAACGGCGGTAACGCGTGAGACCTGCGGACCGAAGATTTCGAAAAAGAACCGCTCAGACTCGTTGGCGAAAGTGCAATGGGCCAATGTACAGCTGATGTAACAGACCAAGTCTTTTGAATCAGGACATTCCGGAAAACACGATGGTGAAGGTGAAAGGCGAGACTGTGAAACTCGGAAAGCACAGACCTTAGATCTTACATAGCGCCTGGGATTTTAGCCCGTCACAGCCTTTTCATTTTCGTGGAGTTTGATCCTGTTTCGACTAAGGCCTCGAGACTTTCCAACTTATGGTTGGGACAACGAGTATGGACAGCGAATGGTGGAGGCGGGCAATGTAGCGCAGCGCACAGATCCAGAAAGCGATCTGAAATTAGTTACCCGTAGGCAAAGTTGTACTGTAGAGGGAAATGACACATTCTTGTCGCGGCCGCACGCCCAAAAGGATGCAAGTCTACATCTCCTCATTGTTACATGTTATATACATGTTGTATATACATGTTTTTACATGTTATATACATGTCATATAGATTATACATGTCTACATGTTTTTTTCCCTGTTATATATAGACATGTTATATACATGTTTTACACATGCTCTATACAATTATTTTTACATGTTATTGGCATGGTATGTTCATGTTTTTACTTGTTATGCACATGGTTTACGCACGTTATATACAATACATTCTACATGTCATTTACATGGTATGCTCATGTTGTTTTCACATGTTGTGCACATGGTTTACGCACGTTATATACAATATATTCTACATGTTATTTACATGGTGTTCTCATGTTATATACATGTTGTTCACATGTTATACATATATATATATATATACATGTTGCATACATGTTATATACATGTTAAATATATATATATATATATGTTGTATACATGTTGCATACATGTTATATACATGTTTGATCATGTTGTATCGGTATGTTCCCCTTGCCGAGTGTCTCTGGCTCCCCGCGGGCGTGGCCGCAGACGTCCCCATGAGGTGCCAGACTTTGAGGCGAGCAAATACATGGTTTCAAACGGTAAGGATCCCAGATCACGCCATGATCACGCTATGATCCCGCCATCCCGCCATAGGCTGCATTGGCCGCCCAAACGCTCACAGTTGGTTCTCAAAAAAATTGCACTCCCTTTAGGGAAAACAAGGCTCGTAGACTGCGATGAGCGTGTCCTTAGATGTCCTTAGATTCTGCAATGACCTCATGTTGATGTTGGAGTTTCAGGGAACCAAATGTAGTTCCTTCTCTGGATCCATCCTGACGTGGGCATCTAGGTGACTTTTGGCAATTTGTAGCAGCTGGCGGCTACAGCACTCAAAACTACTGGTGAAGTGCTCAAGACATCACTTTGGGCAATTTGAAGAGAGATTCTGAGGAAAAGTTGTTGACGGTTTATATGAGTTCCTTTGTATACAATAAGTTGACATTGCATGCTAAAATCAGATGACGTATTGATACCATTTGATCTTATATGATATGATATGATGTGATACAATGGAAAGACGCTCCACAATGCAATGCAGTAACAGAATAGATTGTCGGATGATACATTTTGAAATCGTAATGTGACGCAGGATGCTATGATATCTGATGATACAAGATGATACAATATGCAGCAATATATACCCTACGATATGAGGGTGCAAGATGCCATGATTTTGTATGATCTTGGTGGATTTGGTGTGATATGGCAGAATACTACATGATACGGTAAGGATGACTATAGATTTGACAGTGAAATGTGGTTTTTGACATTGTTGGAGAGTGTGGTATTTTTGTTTTCATCGAGAACAAAGAGAACCTCGCAAATCACAAAATAATAAGAACTAAGAACCTGAGGTCTGAGGACGGATGGAACTGGAGGAAGTTCCGCAACATGAAATGGCCATTCTTCTGGGTGCAGGACGGGTGAAGGCCCAAGTGCAAAAACTTGGCCTCAAGGGGAATTCTGTTGAGAAATTGGAGAGCATCATAGAATTTCCAACGATGTGTAAAAGTGTTCTAAAAAAAGGCCCGTTGTGATGCACAGAGTAAACTAGAATTTTGTTTGCTCACGTCAGGGATAATATTTATTGATGCATCGATTTCAAGACACTGGAGGAAGCAATCTCTGGATTCTCTGGCAAAAAAAAGAGCAGAGAAATGCAGAGAAGCCTCGGAAAAAACATGAAACCTCAGCAAGCAGGAAACGTTGAAGTGCCACATCCACTGACGTCTTGAATCCTTGAACACTGAGGCCTCAAGGCTCAATGCAGTTCAAGCTCCGGACCATCTTCGAGGAGTGGACTTCCTGTCAGGTAAATAATCAAGCAGACGGCATGAGGAAGTGAGCACCCGCACCTCAGACATTGAAAGGTATGCATTAATCAAAAGTAAGCCTCGACAATTCAGCAAGAGCAAGCATGTTGAAAATGCAGAACTGCTGGATCAAGACATAATAACATGTGTAATTTTATAAACTTTAAAAAGAATTATATATATATAGTTATAAATATTTATGTATACAATACATATTTGTGATTATATTTGCCTAAAAGTATTGATATAGTTATATATATATATTTATTTAATTAAGTATATATATATGTGAAACATCTCAATAGATGTAAAACTTGTACCGGCTGAATTTTCTTCTGTTGAACGTAGTTGGTGTCATTCAGGGGGACCATCCATGTAGTGTGAGCGATGGTCCAACGAAGCGGCACAGTACATGCGGATATCACGGCTGATCACCGTGACGTACCTGCTATGTTTTTGCTGATGCGGCAAGGGGCCAAGCCAAGAATCCCAAAGTCAAATTTTGCAAAGTTTACGTTCTAGTCTTCATGGATTGCGCAACTCAAGACTGTGGTTCCACTTCATTGGCTGTGGCGATGGTAGCTCCGACAACTTATTTGGCATTTATTTGGAACGTGAAAGGGAAGGGTCAGCTCCCAATTTCAATTTTCCTTCCTCTCTGATCAGGTTTTATTGGACTGTTTTTGCACGCCCAATGCATTCCACACCACAATTCGATAAGGCAACTCTGAGCAAATGTGTGAGTCATGTCGGATTCGACAGGATGACATGAGCCCTTCGGGGGATACCTTTGTAGGTAGGAAATGGGAGCCGATCTGACTCTGAATTTACAATTTTCGATGATCGCTGAATGAGCCTTCTTTTTTCAATGTTGCTCGAGTGACTGACGAGTCATTGCAGCATGTCACATGATGAACCAGGCCCAGGCCATGCTTGCATGTATGGTGTTTCTTCCTTTTGGTACTTTTGGGTGAGGTTCAAGTGTGCACTTAATTCAGCTGGGGACTACTGACAGCCGTCCATAGGGTTGGATCTGACAACAGAGGGCCTTGAGCCTTATCGCGCCTCACCTTGGCGTACGTGCTATGTTTTTGCCGATGTGGCAAGGGGCCAAGCCAAGAATCCCAAAGTCAAATTTTGCAAAGTTTACGTTCTAGTCTTCATGGATTGCGCAACTCAAGACTGTGGTTCCACTTCATTGGCTGTGGCGATGGTAGCTCCGACAACTTATTTGGCATTTATTTGGAACGTGAAAGGTAAGGGCCAGCTCCCAATTTCAATTTTCCTTTGATCAGGTTTTATGGGAGTGTTTTTGCATGCCCGACGCATTCCACATCACAATTTGATAAGACAATTCTGAGCAAGTGTGTGGTATGTTCCATGTTCAAACTGGATCAATACCGGTCATGGACAGAGGCAACCGACCATCTCGTAGAATGGGCCTGCCACTAGGCACAAACCAGTCGCCTTGGCAAAAAGATAAGGATAGATCAATGCTGTAGCGTCAGTAGCTTCTGCACAGATGTTCCTGTCATTTCCCGTCTTCTCTCTACTTTCTCCCTAATTTCTCCTGTATTCGCCGCTGTCAAGAAGTAGGGTACCAAGATGTACTGAGAAAACGCTGTGAAAGACGGAAAGCAACTTCATTCACTATGTGTTTTGCCTGCCAGGAAATCGATATGCAATGGAGCTGGCCTGTTGATGTAAACTACCATGAGGCACCTTTGCAATGCAGCTGAATTTACGGTAAAAAACCAATGTAAATTGCCTGTGTAAATCGAATTGCAAAATTGTATTCGCATTCCAGCAGTAAGATCAGTAAACTGATCCTGCTATCTCTTTCAGTCGCAACTTTGCCCAGTCTCGAGCGGATTCTCTTGGATGAACAGCACACCAGTCACGACAGACTCTTCACCGCCTAGGCCAAGGCTTACTGTGCATGGAAATCGGAACAGGATGGCCGCCAAGGGACAGAGGCCCCATGGATGTTTGTTCGGGCAGCTTCGATGTGTAAGATTTTGCATTCTCACTTCTTTCTCATGAGAGAGCTACTGTAATATCTGTAATGCAAGAGACCTCCAGTAGGTGATATATGGCAATATCATGCAATATAGTATCTATAGACATAGTATGTTATAGTATGTCAATACACAAATCATATATATATATACGGCAAATGCCTGGGCTTTGCCCGGACCCGCAATGACGACAGGCGATGCATCATCATCATCATCATCATCATCATCAGAATTAAACCCTTATTGAAGATCTTCAATGAATGTAGAAGTGTAACGGGGGTGGGAGAATTATATAAACCCTTTTTGAAGATCTTCAATGAATGTAGAAGTTTAACGGGGGTGGGAGAATTAAACACTTATTGAAGATCTTCAATGAATGTAGAAGTTTAACGGGGGTGGGAGAATTAAACACTTATTGAAGATCTTCAATGAATGTAGAAGTGTAACGGGGGTGGGAGAATTAAACCCTTATTGAAGATCTTCAATGAATGTGGAAGTTTAACGGGGTGGGAGAATTAAACACTTATTGAAGATCTTCAATGCATGTAAAGTTTAACGGGGGTGGGAGTTTAATATTACGTAGTACCTTTGTTGATCTTCCCAATTGAATGTAAAGTTTAACGGGGGTGGGAGTTTAATATTCCCTAGTACCTTTGTTGATCTTCCCAATTGAATGTAAAGTTTAACGGGGGTGGGATTTTAATATTCCCTAGTACCTTTGTTGTTTTTCCCATAGGAATTTTGTGAAGTTGCATCAACATTTGTTTGGGAATGGGAAAAAGCCCAGGCGTTGCGCGTATATATATATAATATACATGTAAGAATATACGATATCTATCATTATCTCAATATCAAGACTTTGCGATGCAATGTATGGCAGACTTGAAAGTAGCATCATCGCGGGGATGTAAAGCGCGCAGTGCAGCGATGCCCTATGAGGCTATACCGGGAATTGTGCTTCATGTGGGATGTTTCTGTGCGGCTGCATGTTCACACAATATGCTCACACATTTCACCCTTTTGATCCCTAGCTTTTGGACCAGACATTTTCCTTGAATCTCAATTGGTGTAAAGACATTAATTTGTTGGCCTGTGGAGTACACACTCCATTGCACGGCCTAATTCTGGCTGGAAACAAAATGGATGGAGGCCCAGCTTGTGCAGCCATCCAGGCTTCACGCGACGCCGCCCGGTTCGAACACAGCAGATAGGGTTTCACTTCCTCCACTGCTGGCTGTGGAGACGTGACCGAAGCTGTCCGCGCGTGATCCCTTTTGTGATAACATTTGTGTGTTTCTGTGTGTTGGAAATAGTGAAAAACACTGAAAGACACTGTTTGGGGAATGCGCACTTTTTGCCAGGCATATCGCGTCATCACAGAGGCGGAGCATCACCTCATCCGCCATCCTGAGGCACAGTTTTTTTTTTCTGTTTTTTTTTGTCTTTGGTTTTGCGTTTCGTTTGTCCTTTGGCTTGAGGATTTCTGCTACTCTGCTCTGCTTTTCTGCTTTTCCTGTTTCTTTGTTTCTCTTCTTTTCTGCTTTTCAGTTTCTCCGCTTTTCTGTTTTTTCGCTTTTGTGATACAGATGCGCCCTTCCACCAATGCTCCTCCTGCTCCATCTTTCTGCTTAGTTGAACACATTCTTTATACCTGTTTGCATGTTTTCGAGCCCAAGATGAACCTTAAACCAACCCTAAATATATCTTAAATTTAAACCAACCGTAAATAGACCCTGAACTAATCCTAAATAAAATCAATAAGTCTTAGACCAACCCTAAACCAACCCCAACCTTGATCAAACCAACCCTAAACCAACTCTCAAAAAAATCTCAATAAACTCTAAGCCAACCTTAAATCAACCTAAACCAGCCCTAGATAACTAAACCCTACTAAACTCAAAAATGCTACAAACTACCATGCAACGTGATCAGTTCGAGCATCAACATGCTGCAAATACCATTGAAATGAGAGGTTCAAACTCCACATTTCTGCTAAAACCATTGAAACGGCAGCATTCAAGCTCCAAGTGCTGCAAACAGCAAGGAGAACACACCAAACGGAAAAAAAACATGGTGGAAGAAAACTTGATTTTTCCCCAGATAGCTTCAAAATGCTTCACGTCTTGAAACTCTCAGGAAACTCAGGAAAATCAGGGTTCAGTGACAAAATGAGGGCCGGAAGTGTGGCGCAGCCCTGCTTTCCAGGCACGACCTGAAAAGATGGTGGCAGTAAGAGATGATCCTGCACTTCGTCTAGGTGCTGAAATGTGCTGAACAACGAAACTAACCAGACTGATTTCAGATGTTGCAAGGTCTTGGACAAACATTGTGCATTAGATGCAACATGATGCAACATGATGCAACAATTGTTGTTTCTGGAGCAGTTCCAGAAGAATTGTCTCAGTTTCATTTCGTTGCCAGAAGCATCAAAAGGCATCACCAAACATAAGAAAACCTGCAGCGCAAGGTGGTATGGACTTCCCTACAGGTGCCAGTGCAAACGCCAACTTGGCCTTTGTGAAAGGCTGAGTGATGCTGAGTGATGCTGAGTGATGCTTCTGTATTCTGCCGACATCCATGAGTGTAAACGACTCGACGAGTGTCTTTTTTAATATGTGAAATTATGTGAAAAGATTGTGCTTCATGCTGATGTTTCAGAAGCTTCGAAGTGAACTCGAGCTGTTTCGTCTCTGTTTCGAGTCTATTGTTTCGATCTGTTTCGATGGTGCAGACGACACCAAGGCATCTCAAAGCCCTGTGGATGCAATGCCTGCGTCTCCGACAGGTCACCACGATGCAATGGGCAACTCGGAGCGGATCCGAAAGGATCCGAAAGGATCGCAACGTGTAGCAGTATGTAAATGTCTGTAACGTATGCATGCAGTATGTAGTACAAATAGTACACTAATTCAAAATATAGTGCACGCCGCAGCCATCCAACGCCAAAATCTGAAAAACAAAAGCGATCAAAAGCGGTTTTTAACATTTTTTAACATTGAGTTTCAGCTGAGCTGATCAGCTGATCTGTGTTCATTTCCCCCCGGGCGGGTTGGACGCGGTTGGACGTTGCACCTCCATGACAGAGTGAAGGCATTACATAAATTTGAAATATAGCCAGAAAGAATCAGAAAGACATGAGACAAAATGAGGAGATCATAAAATCTAGACCAGCGTCAAGTTTAATTTCCATTTTCATTCTGAGGCAACGCATGGGAGTGGACAGAAGATCACTTCAACCCGCTAGAGAACTTTGAGGTTCATTACGTGTGAAGCCTAGTACACGGTCCCTGCTGGATATGAATTTGTGTGGTTGGTTGTCACATGTTGTCACCATTCAAAATATTATGTTCAAAGGTCGAACAACCACATGTGATATCATATGGAGATATGTGGAGTTTCAGTGCCAGCACTTCGGAGTGCTCTCACGCCGAAGCTGTGAAGTCAGAGTTGTCGCTTGAGTCGCCATGCGCGTCGTGGACACTAAGACCTACGATGACTTCTCCACGCCGTGCTTTGATGGGCGACATCATATGATCATGGGTGGCAGCTTCGCCAGCGTGTGACTCAGTGACCAGAGACCGGATGATCCGGAGAGAGGAGTTTCAGAGGGACCAGAGTAGATGGCATACATGGCATCATAGTAGGGGTCACCCGACATGTTGCTGTTTGCATTGGCTGACTTTTTAAGGCAAATCCGATAACGGAGCATCGGGCTTCTGCCGCTTTCACTTCCGACCACACTTTCTGCAGCATTCAGGTTTCAGATTGGTAGTGGCCTCAATTTCGGACAGCACGATTTGTTGACATCATCAGACCGAATGCACGTACTAGCATTAAAAAAATACATAACGCGACTAAGGATACAGTATCATGAATACTTACATCTTTATCCAGGTACATGCATTTGTTCTGAATATATATATATATATAGATTCATATATGTGTACACATACACATATCTTATCAATGTACATGCATTTTGACACACATCATGTGCATATGTAATAATTACACATATATTGTATATATATATATATTTACTCTATCTCGTGACACATTCTTTGTTTGGAGGTCTCTTCAAACTCGCCTGCTCCAGCACGACACTTGGAACAGTTGAACATGCAGGTGCATTGATGGTGCTTGCATCGGACCTGATCTCAATTTTTGATATTTTTCGGGGAAGCAGAGAATTGGTTGTGAACTCGATACGAACTCGATGCCTGATTTGTTGCTCCAGCCTCTCCAAGTACCTCCCAGCCGCTTCCAGTCTCTCCCGGTCTCTCTCAGCCTGTCAACGTTTGTGCCTGGCAGGGTGAAGCAACAGCAGACGCAGCTGTGAGCACTTCTGCTGCCGGAACCGGTGCTGCAGTTGCTGGCCACGCTGGCTATGAGACTCAACGCCTCGAGCCTCAGATAGTCTATGATAGTCTTAGACAGTTTTAGATAGTCTTATAGATAGTCTTCGATAGTCTGAGTGTATCTCAGATAGTCTATGATAGTCTTAGTATGTCTTAGTATGTCTTAGTACGTCTTAGTATGTCTTAAAATAGCCTTAGATAGTCTTGGACAGTCTTTGATAGTCTTAGTATGTCTTAGTATGTCTTAGTATGTCTTAGATAGTCTTAGATAGTCTTATATAGTCTTAGATAGTCTTAGATAGTCTTAGACAGTCTTTGATAGTCTTAGTATGTCTTAATATGTCTTAGTAACTAGTATGTCTTAGTATGTCTTAAATAGTCTTAGACAGTCTTTGATAGTCTTAGTATGTCTTAGTATGTCTTAGATAGTCCTAGACAGTTTTAGATAGTCTTATAGATAGTCTTCGATAGTCTGAGTGTATCTCAGATAGTCTATGATAGTCTTAGTATGTCTTAGTATGTCTTAGTACGTCTTAGTATGTCTTAGATAGTCTTAGTATGTCTTAAAATAGCCTTAGATAGTCTTGGACAGTCTTTGATAGTCTTAGTATGTCTTAGTATGTCTTAGATAGTCTTAGTATGTCTTATATAGTATGTCTTAGATAGTCTTAGATAGTCTTAGATAGTCTTAGACAGTCTTTGATAGTCTTAGTATGTCTTAATATGTCTTAGTAACTAGTATGTCTTAGTATGTCTTAAATAGTCTTAGACAGTCTTTGATAGTCTTAGTATGTCTTAGTATGTCTTAGATAGTCCTAGACAGTTTTAGATAGTCTTATAGATAGTCTTCGATAGTCTGAGTGTATCTCAGATAGTCTATGATAGTCTTAGTATGTCTTAGATAGTCTTAGTATGTCTTAGATAGTCTTAGTATGTCTTAAAATAACCTTAGATAGTCTTGGACAGTCTTTGATAGTCTTAGTATGTCTTAGTATGTCTTAGATAGTCTTAGTATGTCTTATATAGTATGTCTTAGATAGTCTTAGACAGTCTTTGATAGTCTTAGTATGTCTTAGTATGTCTTAGTATGTCTTAGTATGTCTTAGATATTCTTAGTATGTCTTAAAATAGCCTTAGATAGTCTTGGACAGTCTTTGATAGTCTTAGTATGTCTTAGTATGTCTTAGTATGTCTTAGTATGTCTTAGATAGTCTTAGACAGTTTTAGATAGTCTTATAGATAGTCTTCGATAGTCTGAGTGTATCTCAGATAGTCTATGATAGTCTTAGTATGTCTTAGTATGTCTTAGTATGTCTTAGATAGTCTTAGTATGTCTTAAAACAGCCTTAGATAGTCTTGGACAGTCTTTGATAGTCTTAGTATGTCTTAGTATGTCTTAGATAGTCTTAGTATGTCTTATATAGTATGTCTTAGATAGTCTTAGTATGTCTTAGTATGTCTTAGTATGTCTTAGATAGTCTTAGTATGTCTTATATAGTATGTCTTAGATAGTCTTTGACAGTCTTTGATAGTCTTAGTATGTCTTAGTATGTCTTAGTATGTCTTAGATAGTCTTAGTATGTCTTAAAATAGCCTTAGATAGCCTTAGATAGTCTTGGACAGTCTTAGTATGTCTTAGTATGTCTTAGTATGTCTTAGTATGTCTTAGATAGTCTTAGACAGTTTTAGATAGTCTTATAGATAGTCTTCGATAGTCTAAGTGTATCTCAGATAGTCTATGATAGTCTTAGTATGTCTTAGTATGTCTTAGATAGTCTTAGTATGTCTTAAAACAGCCTTAGATAGTCTTGGACAGTCTTTGATAGTCTTAGTATGTCTTAGTATGTCTTAGATAGTCTTAGTATGTCTTATATAGTATGTCTTAGATAGTCTTAGATAGTCTTAGATAGTCTTAGACAGTCTTTGATAGTCTTAGTATGTCTTAATATGTCTTAGTAACTAGTATGTCTTAGATAGCCTTTGATAGTCTTAGACAGTCTTTGATAGTCTTAGTATGTCTTAGTATGTCTTTGTATGTCTTAGATAGTCTTCGTATGTCTTAGATAGCCTGAGATAGTCTTAGACAGTCTTTGATAGTCTTAGTATGTCTTAGTATGTCTTAGTATGTCTTAGATAGTCTTAGTATGTCTTAAAATAGCCTTAGATAGTCTTGGACAGTCTTTGATAGTCTTAGTATGTCTTAGTATGTCTTAGATAGTCTTAGTATGTCTTAGATAGCCTTAGTATGTCTTAGATAGTCTTAGACAGTCTTTGATAGTCTTAGTATGTCTTAGTATGTCTTAGTATGTCTTAGATAGTCTTAGTATGTCTTAGTATGTCTTCGATAGTCGTAGTATGTCTTAGATAGCCTTTGATAGTCTTAGACAGTCTTTGATAGTCTTAGTATGTCTTAGTATGTCTTTGTATGTCTTAGATAGTCTTCGTATGTCTTAGATAGCCTTAGATAGTCTTAGACAGTCTTAGTATGTCTTAGTATGTCTTAGTATGTCTTAGTATGTCTTAGTATGTCTTAAAATAGCCTTAGATAGTCTTGGACAGTCTTTGATAGTCTTAGTATGTCTTAGTATGTCTTAGTATGTCTTAGATAGTCTTAGTATGTCTTATATAGTATGTCTTAGATAGTCTTAGATAGTCTTAGATAGTCTTAGACAGTCTTTGATAGTCCTAGTATGTCTTAATATGTCTTAGTAACTAGTATGTCTTAGATAGTCTTAGACAGTCTTTGATAGTCTTAGTATGTCTTAGTATGTCTTAGTATGTCTTAGATAGTCTTAGACAGTTTTAGATAGTCTTATAGATAGTCTTCGATAGTCTGAGTGCATCTCAGATAGTCTATGATAGTCTATGATAGTCTTAGTATGTCTTAGTATGTCTTAGTATGTCTTAGTATGTCTTAGTATGTCTTAGTATGTCTTAGTATGTCTTAGATAGTCTTAGATAGTCTTAGTATGTCTTAAAATAGCCTTAGATAGTCTTGGACAGTCTTTGATAGTCTTAGTATGTCTTAGTATGTCTTAGTATGTCTTAGTATGTCTTAGTATGTCTTAGTATGTCTTAGTATGTCTTAGTATGTCTTAGTATGTCTTAGTATGTCTTAGATAGCCTTAGTATGTCTTAGATAGTCTTAGACAGTCTTTGATAGTCTTAGTATGTCTTAGTATGTCTTAGATAGTCTTAGTATGTCTTAGATAGCCTTTGATAGTCTTAGACAGTCTTTGATAGTCTTAGTATGTCTTAGTATGTCTTTGTATGTCTTAGATAGTCTTCGTATGTCTTAGATAGCCTTAGATAGTCTTAGACAGTCTTAGTATGTCTTAGTATGTCTTAGTATGTCTTAGTATGTCTTAGTATGTCTTAGATAGGTCTTAGTATGTCTTAGATAGTCTTAGACAGTCTTTGATAGTCTTAGTATGTCTTAGTATGTCTTAGTATGTCTTAGTATGTCTTAGTATGTCTTAGATAGGTCTTAGTATGTCTTAGATAGTCTTAGACAGTCTTTGATAGTCTTAGTATGTCTTAGTATGTCTTAGTACGTCTTAGATAGTCTTAGTATGTCTTAGATAGCCTTAGATAGTCTTAGACAGTCTTTGATAGTCTTAGTATGTCTTAGTATGTCTTAGATAGTCTTAGTATGTCTTAGATAGCCTTAGATAGCTTAGACAGTCTTTGATAATCTTAGTATGTCTTAGTATGTCTTAGATAGTCTTAGTTGCCAAGGAAACTGACACGTGTAGCAATCGAAAGGCTCCTCATCTCTCAATTGTGGTTTGAGGCAATTGGACAAATCATGGGGAGATATAGGGAGGCAATGGCCAGGTCCTTGAGAGTCACTCCACGGAATGTGAGGTCTCGTGGATCAATATTTGGGGCTTCATTTTCCAGCCTCTGGTGCGAATGAGGCATGGGACAATCTAGGTGAGAAAAAACATAAAAAAAAGTCAAGGAGGATGCAATTTATATGCGTTTATGAGTTTATGAGATATGTTTGGCATGTCAGGCAGTAGAAGGATGTAGAAGGCACCTGGTGACATTTCATGCTATTTCATGCTATATCTTGCATTTCTACGCGATGTTCATGAGCTGACCCCTCAATAGCAAGCGAAGTTGATGTGCTTAGCATAGTGTACGTATATATATATATGACGTATATATATATATATAGATATGAATTATGTATATATATATATATATGTATATGTATAATGGGCACAGGTCGATAAACTCGAACAACTTCGTGCCTGGAGCCTTGCTGTTGACATTTGTTGACTTTTCGCAGGTCGATCCCATCCTGAGCCACCCAAACGTTTCCACCTTGGTGAAGCAGCATTGAGCACAACAGCGCCGGTCGAGGGATGTTGAGGACACAAATTCCATGAACTGCATTATCAGTACAAGCTTGGACGAGAATCGCAGAGAATTGCCCATTTCAAGATGAAAGAGATTTTGGGATCAAAATTTCTTTAGCATTTTTAAGTCTTCTAAGAAGTCTTTTAGGCCACGGATTCATGATGATTCATGGATGTTTTTGGAGTTGGAACATTTGGAACGAGGCTCCAGAACATGCCTTGCGCTTCCCACAGCGAGTTGCTCAATTGCTCCTGGAGGCCAGCGCCAGGGCCGCGCAGTTTCCAACAGTTCTGACTGACCGTTGAAATCTGTTGGAGAATGGTCAAACGTGGTCAAACTATTCGAATGGTTTCCCAGTTTCTCGAGAGCCACTGAGAAATGGTTTGCAATGTTTGCTTGTCCTGATTCTGAATCAATTTTCCAGTCTCACAGGAATATGCGGACTGCTGAGTTGCTTCAGCTCCCATACTGGGCATTTCTTGTGTTTAGTTTGGACAGCAGAGAATGTCTTTTACTGGCGCTCCCTCATGATGATACTTGTTTGATCTGTCTTGGAGCACAGAACGGATGGTTGACACTCCTTGGATCTCTATGGCGGATTTTTTAAACATGTGGTTTTGTCAAATGTTTTGTCATGTCTTGTCCGATTTGTTCATCCATGTTCTAGATCACCTCAGTGCTGGTTCTGCTTTTCTGCAGTGGTTCAGGTGCTTCCATCCAGTTGGCATCTCAAAGGAAACACAATGACCTCAAAGAGACAAGCCTTCGAAGAACATCGAAGAACATAATCTTGCATCATATGTATCATATTGTATCAAATTATCACACCTGGCACCGAGTTGTCATTTGCATGGTGTGAAAGAATCCATCTACTCACCTCTACATCCTCTACATCCTCTACAGAATTGGAAGCTCAAGCACAGCTCCCTTGAGATGAAGAGAAGAAACAAGGGAGACACAGGAGACAAGGCAGACAAAGGACCGGAGAGCATGGAAGAGCACTCAGAAGAGCAAGTCATACTGCTTCGCAAAGCTCTGAAGACATGGCACGATGCGGCATCATATTAGTTGTAACTAAGGCGGACGAGTTTTGGACATTGGCTGTGCTGTAGGCAGCTTCTTGGAGAAGAATCGATCAGCTGCAACACCTTGGAATGGATGCAACATGGAAAACAAATATGTGTGCACGTGCAGATACTGTATATAATTGAACATAATTGAACACAATGGACACATATACGTACATGGACGATATATTGACAATATATAGACAATATATAGACAATATATACATGAATATGTATAGCCAATACACATATATATGTATATGTATATTTTTTTTTCACATCGGCCCATTGCTGCGGTACGCTGCGGCCAAGCATGTCACTTGTTGAATTCGACACGTACTTTGGCTTCACCCGGCGTAGTCTGCACCAATGTGACTACTGTACTCAGTCACGGTCATAGACTTCCACTTGGCAATGTCTGCCTCGGGTGGCATTGCCGTGTCCTTCACGTCCAGCAAGTCCAGCTGAACGCGGAAAGCTTCCGCCAGTGCTCCGCACAAGGCGGGTGGATACTCCTTTAGGAGTGCTGTGCGGAAAAATCCCTCCTCAGTGAGTCCAATGGCTTGACCCTTGGGGAGTTCTGGGCGAGTTCTCCATTTGTTGAGAAATAGAGGAAGATCCGGCATGTTGATGGTCAGCAGCTCGGTCGGTTTGGCTGTCAGTGCGCCAAATAATCCTTGACTGAGTCGAAGCCGCTGCACCCCTGGTGCTTGCAGAAGGGCAAGCATGACCGGTAGCTTCCAGATAGAAGCTGCTTGTGGTTCATCCGGTTCAGCTGGGTGTTCAACCACTCCTGAGCCACCAGTGCACACAACATAGCCGGCCATCAAAAGCGTGAATGTGAGCAGCTCGTTGCCGGTGATCACTTGCGCCACCTCTTTCAAGGCCATGCATGGGAGGCCCCAAAGGTGTGACTCGTCTCGCACAATGCGAGGACCACGCCTTGACCCGACCTCGCGTCCACGGGCTTTGGACCAGGTCTCGCACGGTGGCCCTGCAAGGAAGGCTGCGATGTACCCATCCTTCGCCGCCTTGAGCCAGTAGTTTCGCGTGCCTGTCGCCATAGCGTCCCCCCAAATTCCATCTACCACGACGTCCATGCTCACGATATGAAGAACGTACGACTCTGGCACCTCCATGTTCTCCAGAAAGTACTGTGCATCACCCATCCTGCGACGACCTGAAAACAGATGCAATAAAATGCGGTGATATCCAAACGGCCTGGTGATGCCAGAGCATGTCATCCACTCCGTCACTGCAACGTCTCGACATTCTTGTTCAAGCTCGTGCAGAGTAGAGCTCGCACGTGCATCTCGTGATGTGAGCCCCCAATGTGTCGGCTCGAGAAGCACTTCCAGTTGGGTACGAACTGCTCGTACTGGAATGTGCCACCGTTCCACATCAGCTTCCTCCAGGGTCTCAATGAAGTAGCTTAAAGTGCTCGTCCACATAGTCCAGGAAATAGGTCTCTGTATATGTATATATATATATATGTACACAGGTACTATTATCAGAGTTATGTGTATATATATATATAGATATACACACATTTTGCATATATGTATCTAAATATGTGTTTTGTAGCAACCGAAATGTATGTACACCTACTTACTTGTACTAGATATGACAGATTTCTGGTAACGTGCTGTACGCACTCATCTCGACAATCGTCGTGCTTGTACCATAGATAAACGACAGAAATCTGTCAGCATTTGTCGCATTTGTCGCACTCTGTGTTGAAGCTTGGCCAGGTGGTTCATCCTTCGAACTAGCTGCAGCGGGGCATGAGGCTGAAATCTTGTGAAACCATGTGAAACATGAGGTTTGTTTATGCCTTGTATGCCCTCTTTGCAGTGTATGTGTATAGTTAATTATACAGTACTTAGTTCCTGTTTACATGTTTGACTGTGGTGTGACTTTGATTTGCGGAACTCTTTGCAGAGACACTTGCGACAGGTGCTTGGTGTGGACTTCAGCCAAGCTTTCATTGATGCTGCGGAGAGAATGAGGAAGGGAGAGGCAATGGAGTGTCTTGTACCGTCACGGAACATACAGAAACACTGACCAGATAGATGTGGAACGAGTATAGACAAGCTTGTGCGACAAGTAAGTTAAGCGTTGGGTTTCGGGATGTTTCGGGTTCCCAAAGCTTTGGCCCGTCGCAGGCCATTCGCTTCAAGATCCCTTTGGAAGGAGGACTTGAGGCGCACTTCCTTTCGAAATGTTTCTGTTTGATCCCCGTTTGATCCAGAGGAACGTAGTGGAATGCAAATTCCAACAGAATCCCAAAGCCCAAAGAAGATTTCAATGTCTGTAAAAAGATGAAGAGATGTGAAGAGCCCCTCAGCGGATTTAAAATTGGTAAAGATTGCTGCGGAATTGTTTTGGGGTCTGCGGTCGACTGCGGTCGACTGCAGTCGTCCAGTGCCGTTTCCCTGTCGGTTTTCTCCAGGCCGAAGTCACTGCGCAGCACGAGGCAAATGTGGATGCTGCAGCCCGTGAGCGTGCAGGGGCCTGAGGGAAGCATGCACCGATGACAGATGCGCAATGTGTATGTTGTATGATTCGATTCATTCATGTTTGTAAAACTACATCACCTCTCGTCATAATAGTAATAATAATAACGATAATCAAAGGAAGTTTAGTTAGAAAACTTCCGAGTTAAGGACGATTCTCATGGGCAGCATTCGCACCATCATGTCAACCACATGGTCATCAAGTAGTTGGTAAGTGTAACAGGTCGGGAACGCATGAATTCAGGCTTGAAAACACTCCCGGGCGCAAAACCCGGTGTTTTTCGGGTAAAGTGGCTTCCGTGGTCGCCGGAGTAGGGTCTCTGTTTCCGCAGGTGCGGGCCTCGATCTGCAAAGGCGGTCGGCAAAAAGTGCACAGGACTGTAGCGAGAGCTGGGTGTCACATAAAAATGAAAATTGAAAGGGTCGGAACACTTTTGGAAGATGAGGTCCGTAAATTTCATTGCTTCATTGGTACATTCATTCAGACATTCATTGCTTCATTCGTTCATTCATGCATTCATTGCTTCACTCACTCATTCACTTGTTCACTCATGTATACAACTCAATTCAATTCAACTCAATTTGTTTAATTTCAGTTCATGCATGCATGCATGCATTCATTCGTTTGTTCATTTGTTCGTTCGTTCGTTCATTCATTATTTCATTTCATTTCATTTTCATTTCATTTCATTGCGTTCCATTCCATTCCATTCCGTTCCGTTCCGTTCCGTTCCATTCCATTCCATTCCATTCCATTCCATTCCATTCCATTCCATTCCATTCATTCATTCATTCATTCCATTCATTCATTGATCCATTCATTCATTCATTCATCCATTCATTCATTCATCCATTCATTCATTCATTCATCCATTCATTCATTCATTCAATCATTCATTCATTCATTCATTCAATCATTCATTCATTCATTCATTCGTTCATTCATTCATTCATTCACTCATTCATTCATTCATTCATTCATTCATTCATTCATTCATTCATTCATTGAGTCATTGAGTCATTGAGTCATTGAGTCGTTGAGTCATTGAGTCATTGAGTCATTGAGTCATTGAGTCATTCGTTCGCTCGTTCGTTCGTTCGTTCGTTCGTTCGTTCATTCGTTCATTCATTCATTCAGTCAGTCAGTCAGTCAGTCATTCAGTCATTCAGTCATTCAGTCATTCAGTCATTCAGTCATTCATTCATTCATTTATTTGTTTATTTATTTATTTAATTATATATTTATTTATTGCTTCACTCACTCAATCATTCAGCTCAGCTCCGTTCAAATCAGTTCAATTCAAGTCATTTCATTTCAATCCAACTCAAGTCAAGTCAATCATTCGTCCATTTTCTTCAATGCATGGATTTCAATTCACCTCTTCCCAGCTCACCAACACTTCCTATAAGCAAACTGTTTCCTATAGTCATGTCCTATTTTTGAAACTTCCGCCCCGGCGCGTGCCGGGCACTACCTGGTAATGATAACATATCAAGTAATAGCAGCAATGAGGCTGATAGTAGATATGATAAAAAACGCAAGGGTAATGTATGATAATACTTGATAATAAGTAAAAATGATTTTACTAATATTGAATAATGATGTATACATAGGACTACAAAGGTATATGTATATTTTTAGTGACTCTGTATATAAAACTAGATCTATATGTATATACAAATATATGATGTATGTATGTTAAGATGCATGTGAAAATAGATATGTATATTTTCAATAATATATACATAGATATGTATACTTGTGTATATGTAAGTATAGGTGTATATACATGTAAATTTGCAAATATGTATACATATATATGTTCACATGTATACATGTATACATGTAATGTAATGTAATGCAATGTAATATAATGTAATGTAATGAAATGTAACGCAATGTAATATAATGTAATGTAATGTAATGTAATGTATGTATATATGTACATGTGTACATGTGCTTATATGTATATATGTACAACTGTAAATTTTGTTTTATGTATATATGTACAAATGTATATATGTACACATGTGCATATGTATATATGTAAATATGTATGTGTATGTGTATGTTTTTATTTTTACACATGCATACATACATGATGAACTGTGTGGTGAACCATGGTGAGCAACTATATCACTGTTGAATCATGGGAAGGTGCTCAGTTGCAAAGATAGTCATTTCATTGTAGGAGACCTGCCACGATGGAAACTCCCTACTCTTGCAGCATACTGGACAATAGGTTGCCAGTGGTTGTCAGCCTGTGACAGAATACACGGCAATCCATGGAATCGAATGACGTCTCCCCGTACTTGCAGCAGTGGCTGCCTTTGCAATTTGTTGTGCTGAGAACTTCCGCTGAGGTGAGGTTCCAGACAGGAGACGCATGCAGGAGGGATGAGTGGTCAACAACTTGCTTGAAGTATATTTTCACATCATATGTCATATGTGGAAACATAATGAAACAAACAAAAATAAACACATATCACGTCCTTGATGCATCTTGATGCTTATTAGAGAATTGCTAAGCCCAAGGGCCCACGAGTTGCTTCTGCGTTTTTACTCGCTTGCTAGGATTTCTTGTGTGGTCACTTGTGTGACACAGTGCAGGCTGAAGGATCAAACCGCGGAGCTTGGCACCTTTGACGGTGCAGTGCTGGCATTGGCCCCAACGACTACGACACCAACATCCAGAAACCAATGAGAGGAAACAATTGTTTCACATGTTTGAAACATCTTTAAATGCGTTCTGCACGTTCGCTTTGCTCCTTTACGGCAATTTGTCAAAGCAAGCTGTCCAAATCGCCTCACGACTCAGATATTGGTTGATAACAAAGGATTGCACCGGTTGCTGCATGTCAAGGCCAACCTATTGTGCCGGCTGCCAGATCCAGTGGCATGTGCCGAAGTCAGAACACGGGAAAGGACATCAACTGAGCAACCTGAGCAATCTGAGCAATCAGCTGGTGCACTTGGAGAAAGGGAAAGTGACAAGGGATGATACAAGAATGCTAGACACCGCTGGTCGGGCTGAAGATGTCTAAAGAGTCTGACCATGTGACAGCATTGTTACAATACTGCATATTTTGAATCCCGAATTTTCATGCCTCAAAACTTTCAAATGTGCAAACTCTTTGGATCTGCTTGCTTGTACTTGATTCCTCTTTTTTGCATCTCAGCTCCATTCAAACCGATTTGTCTTCGACTTCACCATTTTGGCGCGCTTTGACGTGGGTAGGTCTGGATGGCCTTGCAGCTTTGATCCGCCCGAATGGTGCTGTTGTGGTCCTTGGTCTTGGTTCATGGGGGGAAGGGGGAAGATCTGGACGGCCCTGGGTACCGAGGATATCGCAAGATCTCGCAAGTATGGAAAAGCCAGATACAGGTCGTACATCATGTGATGCATCTGTGTGATTGCGAAGACTCCTGAAGAGGTGTCTTTCACTGATAAGCATGTCATCCCCTGAAGACCAACAAGAATGAGTAAAACCAAACTTGTTGAGGGCTGTTTCAGAGTTGCTGTCTTTGGCAGAGATTAGCGTAAGGGTTGTCAAAACATCTTCAGTTTTTGAATGTCTTGATGATCTTCATGGTTTGGGTTCTCTGCTAAAGATTCACGAACCCAACTGGCACCTGGGCATTCAGCTCTAATTATTTGTTTGAACCGTTGAACAGAAATGTTGCGTTATACTTGGACAAAATATGGTCGGATATGGTATGATATGGTATTATATGTCTCTATGTGGTATGGGAAAGGTGTGTTTTTGTGGCTAAGTATCCTTCCTGTTTTTTTTGTTAGCTATTAATAAATAGCTTGCTATATGATTCGGAAGCACCACCTTTCAACACCAGTGGTGCTAAGATCGTGACTCCTTTCTCTTGGTTAGAGGACGGGTTTCGGACCGGTTTTGGTGAGTTGTTGGTTCTCACTCTTATCTCCTAGGCTGCTGGCGATTTTACCTTACGCGCTGCACTCACACGATTTAATATTCAGGGCTTCATGAAATAGGATTTGTGGAGTTGTGAAATATAGGGTTTGCTGCTCACATTGGTTGTTTCATGGTTTCACACCCGCGGCTGTAGAAACAACAAAACACCAGATTAGATGAAGGCCACCAGGGTACTGCTAGTCTGAATGGCAGATCGAAAGCCAATCCTGAAGGGGGGGTGGTGGTGGGACTGGTGGGCTATTGTGGTCGGTGGTAACCTCCCCCCCAAAAGTCGTAGGGAAGCCTTTTGGTAAATTCTCAAAAGCTGGCAGGACTTTACTCCAAAGTCCAAGTGGTTGGGCGGCTACGAGGAAAATGGCGAAGCTGTGCACTCCAAGGAGAGGCAATCATGTGGAAGAGTTTGCAAGCATACGAAGATATATAGCAAGCATGCAAATGGATAGAATATTATGAGTTCATTTTTGCATCAATGGTGAATGCCTTTTTCTGGCTTCGGCAAAGATCATTGGTCCAGTGTAAGCATCTCAAGATGCTAGCAAATCATGACAAGATGTGCTCATGAATAATACCAGATAGTGCCTGGGGCACGCGCCGGGGCGGAAGTTTTGAAAATGGGAGATGATATAGGAAATCAATGTCCTATAGGATCGTTTTTGAGATGCAGAAGCCATGAACGGTTGAAGTTGTGAGGCGCGTCAACAGATGAGGAAATGGTGGTTGAGATGCCAATGAAAGGACATGGAAGAAGCCGTGCACAACTGAGTGAATGAACCAATGAAATAATGAATCGATGAACAGATGAGTCAATGAATCAGTGAACCAATGAAGCAAAAATGACTCCATGAACCAGTGAATCAACCAACCACGGAACCATTGAACCGATGAATCAATGAATCATTGAACCAGTGCAATGGGTCGATGGATGGTTCAGTGAATCAATGAACCAATGAATCAGTGCAAGATGGTTTAGTGAGCCGGTGAATCAATGAATTCATGAAGTAGTGAGTAGATCAATCAATGAATCAGCAACGATTCAATGAGTCAAGGAAGCAATGAACCGACGAATCAATGAAACGATGCTTCAGTGATTCAATGACTCAGTGTCGGTGATTCAGTGAATCAATGAAGCAATGCACGAGTGAACTAGCGAGTCGATGACAATGAATCCCTGATTCTCAATGAATCACTGAACCCATGAGTCAGTGAATCCACAAATCCATGAACCAATGAATCAATGAACCAATGAATGAAGGGCTGGATGGATGGATCAATGGCATACCCCTTCGCTGAGGCACCTCTTCTGAGCTGCCACTTATCTGGGCTACTTGTGCTCTGAGATGCCTCTCAGCTGACTCTTTTGTAGCTTCTGCAACCCAAGTCTTCTCTTCGCCCAGCTGTTATAATGTGTTTAGCGGCCTCCAGCTGCTATCCCGCATAGCACAAGAGAGTAGCACTATGGTCAAGAACTAACTTTGGCGCCGCTGTTTTCATGTGTTTAGGAGCCTCCAGCTGCAATCCCGCTTGCCAGCTGCGTCGCAGCATCGCCCATGCTTTGCTGCACGCGCAGCCGTGCCAATGTGTTTTGTCACAGCCGGTTGCAAAACACGCATAGCAGGAGCGTCACACCAAATCAACCACCCTTCGCGCAGCGCCAACAGTGCGGACTTTTTTCCCCACATTGACGCGTGGGGTTTTGGTTTTTAGTTCTGTATCCGCGCCTCCTCCTTCTCCTTCCCGTCCTCCCTCCTCAACACTCACTCACACTCACTCACACTCACTCACACTC